GCATGTGCTGGGCGCATGTTAAAGGAAATGATCAGCATGTTGCCAAAACTGAGCCGGGGATGAGAGAGGGTGCATCTATTTCTCCTCTGCCTCTTCTGGGGTATCTGCAGAAATATTGTGTGTCGTGAAAGGAATCAATATGCTTGATCTGAGCTAAACATCTGATAATGAATGTATGCATCTTTCAGGCTTAAAGAGAAATCTGATTATTGGAGTCAAAGGCAACAGCTGTGTCTACAGGGAATGTCAGTCAAAGGGGGGTAAAGGAGACCTGCTAATCTACAGTATATATACTACGTCTGCAGTTGTTACCAGACTTGACATTTAGTGCCTCACAGGCACATTGTGTCACATTGGATCAGTTTCTGGAGAGGTTTCATATAATAATTTATAGAGCTGGTGCATTATGCATTCTGACGTCTACTTAAGTTTATATGTATAAAATTAACTTGTTTGTATCAATGAGAAAAAGGTGAAATTATTTTGTTTCAATAAATAAAAAAAGGAAATGTCCTCAACGCTACAAGATGCAGGTTTAGCAAACCAGGTACAGGTTCAACTAGTGCTAGAATGACAATCTAAAAGAAAGAAAGAAAATTCTGCTCCTCTCTGCTCTCCCTGCTCCATTTATATGTCAAGTATATGTAGTGCAGGGGAAATACAGTGCAAAGTAACAAAAAATACTACAAAGTATCACAAAAGTTTAATTAAATATAGTAATTGAGCAAATGTACTTTGTTACCTTCCTCAAATGTGTGTGTATTAAAGAACCAGAGTCAACATACAGTATATAGCACATTGATGCAAGTTTTGTAAGTGCTTACAGTCCGGCAAAGTCGTACATCGTGCTTGTGTTGCACAGACAGAGCAGTGGGTGGTAAATGGATAACCAGCATGGGACATTCAGATCAACATCTCTTTTAAGAGGCTCCTGAAAATGGCAAAGTAGCAGCACAGTCTTCCTTTCATTGGCAGACATTTATTCATCCCCAGCTAGCCACATGTTTAAGGAGCACAAGAGCAGGGCAGAGACAGGAGCACGGTGGATTTGACCAGCAGTCAATTGTTACGCAGCGATTCCACTGTGGGTATTACAACACATTGACTCCATTAAGGTAAAAGCTGTCACTGTAGCTCGTTTAGCTATGAGCTGGTCTACACTGGAGGTTTACAGCAACACCACACCTCGGTTCAAAGTAGCTACATGACCAGTTACTCAGAAAAGTAGCTTAATCCACACTATTTATCTTCAAGAGAAAAAGAGACAAAATGATGGCGAAATGGTGAACGCTAATGATTTCAGCTACACTAACACTATAACACCATATGTATTAAGCTTGAAATCATTGCCATCAAATACTGATCAGACCAGAAACTACAGCAGCAAAACCTCTGAGTCTATTGAACTGAGAGAGGGTGTTTTTGTTGCTTCTGAATTATACTTTTTTATTTGTAAGGGAATTTTTCTTTTCTTTAAAATGTTACAGTCTTTTATATCGTAACAGTGGAGGTTGAGCAGTGTGTGATGGAGGATAAGTTAGGAGCGACACGTGAAGGAGAGGAACAGAGAGACAGAGGAGACAGGGACAGCCGTCTGTACTTTGTGTTATGAGTTATTTAAGTTGATTGGTTGATTGTACTGTTTGATCATTTAAATAATTCATATTATCATTTCTCCTTGTAGAACCATCTATACCACACAAGAACATGCTCACCACACGCCTACACCGAGATGTCTTCTACAAGGAAACCAATAAAGAAGAGGCAGGGACCTGGACCCGCTGCCTCTTCTGTCTTCTGACCACAGTGGCAGAGGTTTGTATTTTGGTGACCACAAGGTGTAGAGTTCTTGTAGTTATTTCTTTTTAGATGGTCTATCTGTTTTTTACAACTTTAATTTTGTTGATTTTAGTTTTGATGTCGGTTGAGTTTTAGAGGGACGACTCCAGATCCTACGACCCTTTGTGGGTTGTTCCGTCTGGCCTCCCTTCTTTTGTTCATTTTGACCAGCCCACGAGCCTTCTGTTGTTTGTTGTGAATGTGGATTGTGGTTACTTCTTCTTTTGTTTCTTAATAAACAGTGTTTCTGCTTCTACTCTTTTGGTTATGCTGGACCTGTTTTGTCGAGAGCCTTTTCAGGGGCTGCACCAGAGCTGTTTAACTATCCTGCAGGAGAAGAATTTTAGAAAACAAAAGCGGTATTTCGGTTTGTTTCATGTTTAGCTTGAAGCAACGATATAGTCTCCTCATGTCTTCACACAGATCTGTTGCCATCGGACACTGTTCTTCATCTTTTCCCTGGGTGATTCAGTCATACAATACATGCATACAATTTTTACTTTTTTCAAACTAACTTTTTCACCTCAGCCAGGTGCAGATCTCCAGTGATTCTGCTGGGTGTACTGTGCGCAAATAGAAAATGTAAATAAAACAGGTGGATTGAAGCCCACCTGAGGATGAATCCAGCTCCTAGCTAATCCCAAAAAGCATAGAGGTAAATAAAAGATTATTGACAAACACACATTTTTCCACTTATTTTCTGAACTTTTTGTTTGGTGGACAATAAAAATAAAATCATATGCTGCTACAGTAAGCTTGTTGATGTTAACTCCTCACTCTTTCACTAGAAAAAAAAAAAATACTCCTGACCTGAATGATTAGTTGTTTTGGCTCTGTTCCCCCACCCCCCTCTTGTTCCCTTCAAACAATAACGTTCCACCCTACAGAGAAAGACCTATGAGTCACCAACAGTGTACCTCTGCTCGTGGCTAAGAATCCACCAGAGAGACGATGCTGAGAGGAATCATTATTTTTCACTACCCAGTGAGCTGAGAAAGTGTAAGACAGTGAACGAGAGAAAAGTTACTTTTGTTTTTGGCAAAAACTAAAAACCCAGGCTAATGCAATTCAGTACAAAATATTATACCTATAACTCTACTATTTCTATGTTGGAAAATGTTTTATCCTGGTTTAACTCACCTTAAACTGTAGGCTATACCTTTGTCCTGATCCTGTTTTTACCTTGAATCACAGTCTGAGTCATTTATTAATGAGTTTCATTTATATGATGTGATTTTGCAGTACCTGCCATGGTATCTACTGTGCACGGTGCCTAAGAAGGCAGAGTTAATTTTCACAAGAAATGTACACATGCTGTAAATATAATGGTGTCACCACTGTACTTTGTGATTTACAAATTGATTTACAGTGCACCCAAAAGGAGTCTGTATTATATCTGTGCAGAGATTGGTCTGGCAGTAGTTGTGTTGTGACAGTTTGGCTTGCACACAATAAAGATTCTTGAACATACAGAAAGATGGAAGTAGATCTAACCAAGTTAATATTGAATGCAGCAAGTGTCCAAATTGCACTAAATTCAACAATACTCATGGCAAGTGTGAAGCCAATAAGCTGAACAGTTCTCGAGATATGTATTCAAAAGACAGACAGATTCTCCCATTAAAATCTACCAACACCGTCTTGAACATGTCTAATTATCAAAACATCTTCCACTTAACAATACACATGAAAATGATGCCCAGGAGCCACCAATTAGACAAACCAAAAAAAAAAAAAAAAAGGTAATTATCAAGCTGAAATTTGTACTCAAAACCATATGCTGGGGGTTTAGAGGGTAAGATGTCTGGTCATGAATGTAAAAGATGAGTTTTTTAGTGGTGGGTAAAGAGTTTGATGCACTTCCGAGAGGACCTACATCTCACATCCCGGATCCTGACCAACCAACCAACCACAATAAGTGAGGATCTCGAACTGTGTGCCAGACACGGCTGTCTGGAGTACGGGGCCCTCGCAGGGAATGTGGCACTTTCTTGTTCACCCTCTACACTGCAGACTGTCTCGACAACTCCCCCTCCTGTCACCTGCAGAGGTTCTCTGATGACTCAGTGATCGTTAGCCTCATCACAGATGAAGATGACAGGGAATACAGAGGACTGACGCAGGACTTTGTGTACCGTTGCCAACCACAGTCCTGCCTGCAGATCAACACAGCGGAAACCAAAGAACCGGTGGCGGATTTCGGCAGGCGCATACACCTCCCCCAACACCAGTGAACAGCCAGGGAATGGAAAAGGAGATGGTAACTGGGTGTTCACCTGACACCATAAACTGGACTGGACTGATCATGCCATTGCACTTTATAAGAAGGGCCATTTGGGAATACAGAGGTCGCTCCTGAAGATCTTTTATGGAATATATACAGCCATTTTCTTTGGAATAGTTTACTGGGGCAGTGGCATTACTGACAGGAAGAGACTGAATAGACTGATTAAGATGGCGAGCTCACTTGACTCAGTGAGGGTGGTGTCTTCTCTGATGGACAACCAGTCCCACCCTCTATAGGACACCATCACAGCAATAGCTCCTTCAGCGAGAGACTAATCCACCCAAAGTGTCTGATGAAGAAGGCAGTAACACTGTACAACCAACTCTGCTCTCAGTAGAATTGCATGCACCCATTATTGACTGGACTTTTCACTCCGGTTTAACTCTTGTAACTCTTGCATTATTCACTCTGTCAGTGCAATTCAATAGCTTATGTGCAAATCCATTCCACTGCATATATTCTTGTACTATATATATACTGTTTTTATACGATATATATATATTTTTTTTTAAATTATATAATTTTTAACATTTCCTTACAAGTTTGTACTTGTAAGGAAATGTTAAAAATATAAGTATTGCATACTTTTTCACTATTACTTACTGATATTTGTGACTGCCCTCTTGCTACTGTTTTGGGACGAATAAAGAATTATCTTAGATAATTGGGGAAAACAAGAAATAATAAGTATGTTTTATTTCATTTCTGAAGGAGCAAGCAGTGCCTGAGCTAAGTTTATTTTACTACAAAAGAGCAAAACATAAATAACTGAATAAAATTTGATCCAAGACATCTGGCTTTGAGTGGTATTCATATAGAAGTCATATGTTGAGACTAAATCATGTGACCATAGAACTAGTAACTTTCCACTAACCTCTGGCACTCGCTGGCATGGAGAACCAGGCCCTGGTTGTTCTTGGCACTGACGGTGAGCTCATGCTCCGTTGGGTTGAAGATGTCGAGCAGCAGGTGACACTGGCGGGTGCTGTGGACACATACAGACATTATCAAATGCTGTAAAACCAAAACATGTGTGTTCACACCAAAACTCAGTCCAGAGAACAGTTTCTGTTTCCACAGACTCATAATGACAGCCCTAATTTCTTTATGCATTATACACACAACAATAACAACAAGCTTATAACGATTCAAGTCCTATAGGGTCTGCCCATGTAACCTATGCATGGTGACTTGTTAATGAATGTGGGTGTTTATAATTTATGCACAAGGTTACAGTTACTTTCCAAAAATACACGGCCACATGCACGCACACAGCAAACGCATGAGATCAAGAGAGGAGACTGTGTGAAGTACCCATCAGTCCTTGTCATAACATCAAAGGTGGCGGTGCTTTCATCAGGCCCACAGGCCTGGCTGGAGCAGGCCATCTCCACATCATCCCAGGCCTGCCTTTCTCATGCAGATCAGAAGACGGCCAATTTGTGATTTAGATCAAGACAGGAGAGATGATTCAAGGTTTTCAAAGAGTTAATTTTAACCCGAGTAGTTGTTTTTTTCTTCCGCGTTATGAAACGATGAAAGGAATGGATCTCTCTAACCAGAACTGAAGAGAGTGTGCTGTTTCTGAATGTGTACACAATGGATGTAAATATGTGAGTAAAGGCTGTATTGGATAAAAGATTGTGTAATATCCACCAGAGCTTACAGAGGTTGATGAGGAAACTACACACACTGCTCTTATATGGCACCATGAGAATTATGACGATTAAAATGCTCACAATTATTTATAAATAGCATGTGGGGGTTTTGTACTGGGCTGCATAATACTGGTGTTCATGGTGTTGCCCAGGAATAAATATGGTTTTAAAATGTATCTGAAAATACAAGTGACAACAGCTTTGAAAAAAGATACATCTACTTACAATGACACAGTGACATTAAAGGTTCAGTGTGTAGGATTTAGTGACATCTAGTGGTGAAGTTGCATGTTAAGCTGAACTACCCTCACCTCACCCTCTCTGTCCAAACATGAAAGAGAGCCTTTGGAAGCCTTCAGTTGCCATAAAAAGTCAAAAGGTGTATAGTTTGTCCAGTTTGGACTACAGTGAAAAACATGACGGCCCTGTAGAGAGGACACGCTCCTGATGTAAATATAAGGGGCTTATTCTAAGGTAAAAGAAAGAAGTGAACAAGTGAAACAAAGAATGTATTTAAAAAAAGATAAATACATACACAGATATAAATAAAATATAAATGAAATTAAGAGAAGTAAGACAGAGGTGAAATGAAGTTGAGTGAAAAGATGTTTGAAGAGATTCATTGAAAATATTTATGGGAAAAAGAAAGACCTGACTTATAGCATTAAATATTACATACCTAGAATTACCACCCTGCAGTAGTATGCCTTGCTTCCCTGATTTATATGAGGTCACATGACTTGACTTTTGAGACAACTGGTTAAAAATATGAAGAAACGCCAGTGGGTGTTCCAGACATATCACGTCCACTAGAACATAAGGTCACCGTTACCCTGGGCTTTGACCTTAAACCACCAAATTCTAATCAGTTCGTCTGAGAGTCCAACTGAACATTTGCACTATATTTCAAAATATTTACTGGAGGTATTCCTGTGATATGGCGTTGGGTTTTGGAAGGTCACAGCGACCGTGACCATTGACCTTAAACCACCGAAATCGAATCAATTCATTCTTCAGACAAACTAAACATTTGTACCAAATCTCAACCTGAAAATATAATGCTTTCGATTGCGCTAGGGTATTAAGAGATGAGGTATGGTTTAACAGACGATAGCATAACAAAATCATAAGTCAAGTTGTAGCTAACTGAGCTGTATGTCATACTTTGAATAACATTTAAAGGTCCAGTGTGTAAGATTTAGGTGAAAGGGAACTATTGGCAGAAATGTATTGTAGAATAATCTTTGTGATGTTTTCACAGTTTTCTTTCATCTAAATTGTATGAATTGCAGTTTTCTTTACCCTAGAAAAGGTACTTTATATTTAAATACATACATTTCGTCATCGAGGGGGTCCTCTCTACGGAGGCTGCCATGTTTATTACATCAGTCCAGACTGGACAAACTAAACACCTTTTGAGTTTTTATGACAACTGAAGGCTATCACAGGTTTTTTTCATGTTTTGAAGGTGAGGTGAGGGGCGTTCAGCTGCAACATGTAATTTCAACACTAGATATCACACTGAATCTTTAAGTCACTATAAGTCTATGAAACATTATTCTGAACAAATCATCTAGAAAAGACAGGTTTTAGTTATTGCCTTTGGTCTTTAGAATGCACCACCCTCAGATTTAATTGCAACTAGTTTCATACAGCACGGATAGAAAACAGATGTGCCCAAGCATCAGCCCATCTTGCCTCCAGGTTACACTAAGCCCCTCTCCCAGCCAGCATCTCGCCTCTTAAATCCCAGGGTTAATGGACGCTTAAGTTGAGCTTCCCCAAGTCTCTAATAAACTGCTGTGGCAATTAAAGGAGATTTTTTTTTTTTCCCAAGGCCAACCAGGGTTTTGTTAATTGTCTCGTTGTCTTTGTTGGTGGACGTGATTAAGGGGCTGAGTGGGGCGAGGTACTGATTTATAGACCTGGGCGTTTGGCTGAGGTGATCAATCAAACCACCCATTTAAGTAACACGGGCTCATTGTTAGTGCACTAAGTACAGAAGATAAAGTGAAGGAACAGATACAGATTTGCAAATTTTGATTTGAAGAGCTCACAATCACAGCCCAGACAAACAGACTAAAACCAAAAGAGGTGGCCTCGGTCCAGATCAAACGGAACCATGCATCTTTTTGGATCAAATGTTTACAATGTGACAAAGACATGGAGCATGTTTCTGCCCATAGCCCAAACTTTCAGGTGTGAAAATGGCATTAGTCTCAGCACTCAAAGTTCCAAAACACTAACCACTGAGGTTTTTAATGCTGAGTCTGATTGGAAAATGGCAATCCAATCAGTCTAATCAGAGGGCATGTGGTTCTATTAGCAACAACTCCGCCACAGGTTCAAAAGGAAAATTAATTTTTATGATGGACGATAGCGTGGCCTCCTCCATGACCCAGGTGGGTTTGCCTATAGCACACTAAATGTTTACCAATTTATTCTACACCATCATCAATGACAACTATCCCCAGTGTCTCAGAAATCATTTCCTACAAAGCATTATGTTGAGTTACTGCATGGGGCTCTAAGATCTAAGCTACATAAATTATTCAGAAGCAACGATAAGGTTTCAAACTATTTGTCTCCATTTCATTCTGCGAATGTTTGAATGCCTCTCTGAGAGCAGAGTGCTGAAGAGAGGGAACAAAGCTATCACCAGTGTTTCAAAAACTATTGAACCTGCTTCTTTGCACATAGCATACAAAGCAAATCATCCATCAATGAAATATCAATACTACTACCTTATGAAGATTTGATAAAGGCCTAAACAACTCTGGCTGCCTGTGCTGCACTTGTATGAATGTGTCACTTTAAGTACTTGCGAGTAAATTAATTTTAAGGAGACAGTCATGAACACGGACATTTTTCAGGTACAGGATGGAGGTCTATGAACTCCACCACACTAACAAATAACCCATTCGATTTGCTTCTGTTAATTTGAATTGATTCAGTTTCAGTTTTCTCTAAACCTGGTGCCGCACATTTCTATTCCAAGATGACAAAATGGCATCGACATATAACTGACAAAAGCCGCAGCTGACAGGTGACAGTCTGACCATTTTTGCTCTGACACAAAAAGACAAATCAGTCTATTGCTATCAGTGTGTGGTGTGACACTTATTACTTTGGCCCAGGCGTGTGGTTATTGCGAGGCAGTGGGCGGTAAAATTGCCACACACCACAGACCAAGGCAAAAATGAACAGATCAATGGAGTTGGGCCCACGGCTCAGTCAATTCTGCAAATCTGCAATCAATGCGTGCTGATTTCGAAGCGCTGCTCTGGCACAAAATCGTGACATATTCCATGCGCAGAAAACGTAAAGGCCTTAATTATCCGGGTTGGATTTAGAGGACTGCCAATGATGTGCTATTTTTAGCTGCAGCAACTTATAAGAGACAGCTGACGTTTATGTCCACATTTAAAGATTTAAAGTGGAAATTGGCTATGAAACTAATTACTGGCTCGTCAGTGTCTAAAAGGGCCATTTCACCCAAAGACATTTCTTCCTTTAACAGTGGACTTGGTTTTAGATTGGATTAAAACATTCAAGTTTCAAAAGCAACATTTCTGTCCAGTTGGAATTCGAATTCTTTACAATGACATCTATCAGATGTAGGCAGCGGAGGTTTCCCTTCATACAAGAGCTGCAAAGTGTTAGAATTAGTGCAATGACGCACAGGATGCACTTTCTTGAAAACACTTTGGAGGATCAGTTAATTCCCCCCAGCAGAGTGATGTATTTTCCAGGGCAACACAATGTTAAGCAAATGGTCTCTATAAAGTATGGATCACTGGGTATTTCACACGTCCAGGCTCCGTGCTACTTGCTCTAAGAGATCTGTCACCTTACATACGGCCTAACCCCTGAAGAGGGTACTCTGCGTGCCAAGAAAATGGCCATCGAATCTTGCCATAAACATCAAATGAAGAGGCAAAAGAGAGGGGAGAGTGGAAACATATATCCTTGGAACTTAATTTAATTCTACTTGGGGAAATGGAATGTCCTGCAGTAGTTTTTTTTATTCATTAGGGTCCGAGCAAAACCTTTAGATGCATTGATTCCCCAAAGAAAAGTGTATGTGAGAGAGGAAGACTAAGAGAAAAAAGTAAAGTCAGTACTGTATATAGCAAAAAGAGATGCTGTAAGCAAAAAAAATACAAAGGTACATATATCCTGAGGCAAAAGGAGAAGAAGAGCTGATAAGAGAGAGGCAAAGAGAGATCTGGAGAGCAGTAATGAAAGAAGAAATGAAATGCGCAATAGAAGAGGCAGAAGAGAAGAAACAGACTGAGGGGAAAAGAAAAAGTCAAAGGAGATAGAG